ACAGAGTGCTGGGCCTGGCATCAGGAAGACTCATCTTTTTGAGCTCAAATCCTGCCTCAGACAATTACTAGCTGTGTGACACCGGGCAAGTCACTTAACCCTGTTTGCCTCAGTTTCCTCATCTGTAAAATAAGCTGGAGAAGGAAATGACAAACCACTCCAGTATCTGTGCCAAGAAAACCCCAAATGGGGTCACAAAGAGTTAGACACGACTGAAACAACTGAACAACAACATATAGAAGAAACACCAACACATACAGTAGCCAGAACAATAGAAATAAATTGGACACTGAGAGGCTACAGCGACCAGTGTTAGGTATTTTACTACTAAGGTTAAAGAGCATACCCCTCCTTTCTATTAATAGTCAGGCAGCCACAAAGGTGGGAGGGGGCCTGAGCTATCACTAGCAGTCATACCATTAGACAATTTTGCTTAACTGTTTTTAGAAAATGTACTAGGTAGGGGTGCTATTTGGGTGTTTGTTGGGGAGTGTGTGTTGGGTAGAAACAAAAATATATCAACACTTGATTTAAAAAAGCAAAAGTTCTAGGGCTTGATGCTTTGAGGAGGGCTTTGGAGATCATCAGGGTGGCTAGGTACACAGTGCATAAGAGTGCCGGGCCTGAAGTCAAGAAGATTCATGTTCCTGAGTTCAAATCTGGCTTCAGACACTTACTAGCTCTGTGACCCTAAGCAGGTCACTTTGCCTCAGTTTCCTCATCTGTAAAATGAGCTGGAGAAGGAAATGGCAAACCACTCCAGTATTTTTGCCAAGAAAATCCCAAATGGGGTCACGAAGATTTGGACACAACTGAAAAAAATGACTGACTTGGAGATCATTAAGGGTGAGATTACAGAGAAAAGGAACTCTCTTCTTGGGGAGATAGCAGCTGAGAAACTGAAGTTCTAACCAGGCAGACCTTGCTAATACTTAACAGGTAATACAACTGGAACTGGGAAAGGACTGAAGAGACCTTCTAATCCAACCTCCCCATTTCACAGATGAAGACAGATGAGCCCATGAGGGGAACTCACTTGCCCAATGTTATTCAAACAGGAAACTGAACCAGGGTTCAGATCCAGGTTCCCTGGCTCCAGATGGAGTTCTTTCTACTATAGGACACTGCTGTCTCCTTTGCTTTTTCAGATGGGGAAACTGAGGCTCAGAAAGGTGATACATCCTATCCAAAGCCACAGACAATTAGTGGGGCTGTAGGCTAATCAAAGTCTTCTTCTCTTAATTCTTGGACTCCTTTCAAAGTCTTCTGCTCTTAATTCCTGGACTCCTTTCCACTACAGCACAATGTCTCTTATATAGAACTGGATTCAGTGACAAGAAACTTCTAGCTAGGTCCTGTCCCATTGATAGGGCAATGGATAGAGCTCTGAGTCTGGTGTCGGGAAGACTTGAATTCAAATCCAGCCTCAGACTTACTGTGTAACTCTGAGTCACTTAAACCTCTGTCTGCCTCAGTTTCCTCAACGGTAAAATGGGGGAAATAATAGCACCTACCTCCCAGGGTTATTGTGAGCATCAAATGGAATATTTATTAACATAGGGTCTGGCACATAGCAGGCTCTTAATAATTGTTTGTTCTCTTCCCCTCTCCCTACAACCCTCCTTATGGGCCTGGAATTAATGTTCAAAGGATGCTGTAAGTGTGAAAGTGCTTTGTGATTCCCAGGCTCCTAAATCTTTTCTCACAGGGGCCTTTTCTACTAAATTCCCTTTTAGAAGGAAAGGTTAAACAGTGCTCCTCTCCTTCAACACGCCCATAGCCCCTTTCTGTTACTTCTCCTGCAGAGTGCTGGTAATAGTCAGGAAAACCTAATCCCACCTCTGCCATTTACAAGCTGTGTCACACTGGGCAACTCACTGAAACTTTCTGAGGCCCAAGCTCTTCACCAACATGGTAGTGCCTACCCCACAGGATTGTTGTGAGGAGCAAATGAGCGAATGTGTGTAAAACACTTTGTAAACTTTAAAGCATGATAGAAATGTGAGCTGTTATTATATTATAAGAGGGTGGAGCGTTGTTGTGGGAGAGGAGAGTTGACAAGTGCCCTCAGACCCTTGGCAAGGATGGCAAAACCCTGGAAGATTAGAAATGATTTCTCTTAGGGGCAGCTAGGTGGTGCAGTAGATAGAGCACCAGCTCTGAATTCAGGAGGACCTAAGTTCAAATCTGGCCTCAGACACATAACATTTGCTGTGTGACCTTGGGCAAGTCACTTAACCCCATTGCCTAGCCAAAAAAAAGAAATGATTTCTCTTAGTCTAACCAGAGTTTTTAAACTGGGGCCCATGACCTTGTTTTTAGAAATATTTTGATTGCTGTATTTTAATAATTATTTCCTTTTATAATGCTATGTATTTTATTTTACATGTTTAAAAACATTATTCTGAGAAGAGGCCCCCAGGCTTTTTGCGTCTATGATACAAAACAGGTTACAGATACCTGGTCTAACCTGAATCCTGCATGCTTCAATGCAAAACCCCATTTCTTATTGTTTGGTCTCTATCAGGGAACAGAAAAACTTGACCCTGGTTCTCAACTTGCCTCTCTTATTCACCCCAAGTTCGTTTTCTCCTCCTTCATGGAGACAAGCTCTCCTCATCCAATGTCCTTCCTATCCCTCCACACGCATTAAAGAGACTCCCTATTCACTTCCAGGATCAACTAAAAAGTCCTTTCTTTGGCTTTTAAATACCGTTAAAGATGTGAAGCTCAGCCTAGGATGTGCTAGGCCCTTCTCCATCTCTCCCCACTTATTGAGAGTTTTACGATCCCAATGACAGGCAACTCTCAGCTAGTCAGTCATTTATTCCTTTAAAAAAAAATTATTAAATACCTACTGTATAAAAGACATAAAAGTACTGCTTGGTACTAGGGAGGATGTGACAAATGACATACAATCTATTCATGAAGAACTTACATTTTTAATAGATTATAGATGTAGAGGTAGAAGGAACTATAAAGGTCTGGTCCAACCTCTTGATTTTATGAACTTAGAAACTGAGGCCCAGAGGGAGAAAGTGTCTTGCCTGGGTAAGGTCAGTCAGTCATAAATGCCAGAGTCAGGGATTTGAACTGAGGTTCTTGTCTCCAAACCTGAGACTGGTTCAACTACACCAGGAACACATGTAGCATCAACAGCTGTGATAAAAGGGAGAGTGAGGCAAGTACAGAAAAAGAAGGCTCTCCATGCTCTGTTTTGTGGACTGTCCAATGCAAAGATTTCCTCCCAGTCTGGTTTCCTTACACATTTATCCCTAGAGCTGTTGGTGTGTATCCAGGAAACGGGAACTCATCTCACTAGGAGCCAGACCTACCCAGGAAAATAAATATGTTATGACTAATATGAAAATATGTTTAATAGGAATGTATATGTAGAGCTTATACCAGATTGTATGCCGTCTTGGGGAGAGAGGCAGGAAGGGAGGGAGAGAAAATTTAAAACTCAAAAACTTATAGAAGTGATTGCTGAAAACTAAAAATAAACAAATAAGTAGAAAACACACACACACACACACACACACACACACACACACACACACACAAAGAAAAAAAAGATGTTGGTCTCCACCCCTGCCAAAGCTACGTGATGCGTTCCAAAGTCAAACAGAAATGAACTTTTGGATCCTACGCTGCTTTGGGTCCCGATAAATGAGAGGGTTGACTATATTATGACTCAGTACGGGATCCGTTCTTTTCTTGCCTTTCTGTCTTGGTTATTTTGGTCTAGATTTCCCCCTGGTGGTTAAAATGAGAAACAGCAAGAATCCCTGAATCATCCACTTCAGACTCTTAAGAGATACCTTAATGAGTATTCTCATTTTGCAGATGGAGAAAGAGAGGAGCAGAGAAGACAGGGCATCTGCTTAAAGTCCCACAGTGACAGGGCAAAAATCCAGGTCTCCTTAATCTAGAGTTTTCTCTCAGCCCACCCTGCATATCCAATCTGTTGCCAAGACCTATTGATTCCACCTTGTAGCATTTCTCATCATTCGCCTCCTCCCCTTCTTTCCCTGACAAGCCCTCATTGCCTTAAACCTAGACTATTGCTATATGTTTGATCTCTCTGCCTCAAGCCTCTCCCCACTCTGGCCCATCCTACACTCAACTGTCAGAATGATCTTAAAGCTCTGGCCTGGGAATGCCTCATCCCAAGTTAACAAACTTCAGTGACTCCAAGATCAAACAAAAAGTCATCCTTTTGGCTATTAACATCCTGGCCCCTCCCCGACTTTCTAGTCCTCTGTGACCCAGTGACACAGGCCTCTTTGCCATTCTTCCCACAAGGTATCCTTTCTCTGAGATATTTTCACTCTCTTTCTTCCATGCCTAGGATTCTATGTCCTCATCTCCATCTCCTGGCTTCCCTAACTTTCTGCAAAACCCAGATGAAATGCCACCTTCTACAAGAAGCCTTTCCCAATCTCCCTTAATGCTAATGCTTTCTCTCTGCTGACCATGTCCAATTTATTTCATATATATCTTGTTTGCATGTTCTTTCTCCTATTAGACTGGGAGCTCCTTGAGGGCAGGGACTTTTTTTTTCCTTTCTTTGCCCTCCAGCTCTTAGCACAGGACCTGGCACACAGAAGGCATTTAATAAATGCTTCTTGACCTGCCTATACCATCATTTGTTCAGCTTAAATGCTGTTATGTACCCACATTTTACACAAAACTTTCTCCCCACCAACATTTCCAACTGATTCACTCACTGTCCAGTAGGATTCAGAATCTGCTTTCCCAAAGCCTGGCCCTCTTTCCCAGCAAACTCTTCTAATTGCCCAGCCCCCATGCTCTTCTTTGGAGGCACTAGTCAAGGTTTTTCTCTGGCCCCAGGGGCCCTGCAGGGATGTGGCTGGGAACCCATCCAATGGTTTTACTCCTTTTCCCTCTCTCACCTTCTCAGTCCCAGAATGGATACAACCCAGGGGGAAGGGCTATGCTGAGCTGTGTCAACAAAAGTCTGGTCTCTAACAACAGAACCCACGTTCTCCTGCCTTTCTCCAAAGGGTTTCCGTGGTGTATGGGGAGCCGGAGTAGAGATTGAAGTTCCCCAGTGGCTCTGAATAGGTAGGAAGAACTGACATCCCCCACTTCCACGCCCAAGATAGGGCCGACTGGGAGCCCCTCCTCAGTCAGAGTATCTTAGTCTGCCCATTAGCAAATGAATTTAGGGATAAAAGGGGAAGAATTCCAGAATATTTGGGTCCCAAAGCTGCACAGAAGGTACAGCCAGGGTGATCGTGGCCAGTAGTTCAATGGAGGGGAGTGTTAGTCCTGGGTCAGGGGGCTCCCTTTGTGATCTCTTCAGAGCTCCTCAAGACTCCACTGATAGTGCTTTAAAATCTATCCTTTCCTCTGGGATGGGTTCTAAGGTAGAGGGAGTGAGTGACCCATAGTCCCTGCAGACATAAGGACACAGGAAAGAATGCCTTCTCCTGCCTCCAAGGTGCCTAAATGGTAGGGCACAGGGGTGCGATGGAACAGTGGAATATCGACATTTTTCTTGGGAGCTTCAAATTTAAATTGATTCCACCGAAAGGAAGGGGACTGAGTGGTAAAGAGCAGATGTTCCACAAGTGGAGGGGAGAGAGATTCTTGGGAAGGCTTCATTGAGGAGGTGGGCTTTGGCAGTACAGGTACTAAAGAAAGATCACTTTAGTTCCTTTTATAAACTCATTGAATCTCAGAGCTGAAAAGGCACTTAGAGGTAATCTACTGTAACTTCCCATCCCCCTGCAGGAATCCCCTCTACAGTATTCCTGAAAAGCGGTCATCTGGCCTCTGCTTGAATACTTCCTGGGACAGGGAACTCCATGCCAATAGCTCTGGTTGTTAGGAAGTTCCTCCTTATCTTCACTCTCTTTGGCTTGGAGGAGGCGTAGATGGCACATGCCTTGGACACACGTCGGCAACAGAAGGAAAGGTTCCTCAGAGCCATGCATGCCCTTCAAGCCACATCTGATCGTACCCTACAGGTGGCCAGCCCACTCCTGGAACACCCTAGAGGCTTGGGACTGCTCACTGGCCCTCACCTTCACCAACTGGCGCAACAAAGCCAAGGCCTGTGTGTGGAGCTGGACCATGTGGGTCACCTCCTCCGATTCCAGCAGGACCGGCTTCTGAGACGAATCCCCACTCCGGGTGGGGTCAGAGGCTTGCACTGCTCCGTGGATGGTATGCTCTACCTGACCTTTGAGGAAGCCCCCTGCATCCAAATCCTTGACCTCTCTGGCCACTCTCTCCACTCTCTCCCTTGCAGCCTGCCAGGGACAGGAGCCTTTGTGTCAGAAGATGTGACTGTGACGGGGTCAGGGTTAGTACTGGTCAGCAGTCTGGTCCATAGAGCAGTCTATGCCTTCTACCACCCTTCTAAGGCCTCCCAAGGTGAATGGGCGAAAATCTTGACCTTTGAATCCCCGAGAGGACTGGGAGTGGATGCTCTGGGACGCTTCCTGGTAGCAGACTATGTCTCAGGTTTAGTCCACAGTTTTTCACTGGGCTCATCACTCAAGGCCATTGGTCTGACCACTGTCCCAGGCCTGTGCGGCCCCCGTTATGTGAGTAATGGCCCAGATGGGGGCTTTGTGGTGAGTGAAGAGTGTGGAGATGTCCAGCTCTTTGGCCATGCTCATCAGCCACTGGGCTCGCTGGGCAGCCGGCTTGAGCACCCATTTGGTAACCCGGCTGGTGTCTGCACTGATGCCCAGGGCAACATAATTGTTGTTGATGAACAGCGAAAAGAAGTAACCCTATTCCCAAGGGCTGGGCCCCCGGTCAGAGTGGTATCTAAAGGTCTGCAGAGGCCTACAGGGGTGGCCTGTGCCTCCCATGGTCGATTGTTGGTAGCTGACAATGGAGATAACTGTGTCAAAATCTTTAAATACCAAATGTAGCCTTTAAGATAGGACAGAGGGCATAGGGCGGGAAGAGAGGGAGATTCTCTGCTCCAGACACTAAGGTGAGTACCAGTACTTCAAGAAGCAAGGGTCAGAAGTCCTGTGTTCTTGTCCTGACTATCCATGCTAGAATGCACTGCATCTGTGCCTCACTTTCCCCATCTGAACTGTGAGAAGACTTATTCCAGTTTGCAAAAGTTTCTTTCCAAATGGAGTGAGAGAAACACATCATGGAACATCACAGCTATTTGCTGACATGCACCATGTTTCTGGGACTCTTGGCCCTGACTCCCAGGAGTAGGGGGCTGAATGGGGTTCACATAGCTCCAGGTAGAGATTCTGGGTCCGAAAGTTAATCCAGCATCAACCAATCAACCAACAAGTCTTTCCCCAGTCTCTTATGTGCCCCTCATCTACTGTGCTATGTAAAAGGTTGTAGTATTGCCGGGAGGGGGGGGGAACAGAATACTGGGGGTAGAGAAAGGAGGCAGCAGAGATTCAGTCCCTTCCCTGAAGGACTTCATAGTCTCTGAGGAAGTCAACAACTATGGATATCCATTTCTTTTTATCATGGGGCAGCTAAGTGGAGCAGTGCATAGGAGTGCCAGGCCTGGAGGCAGGAAGACTCATGTTCCTGCGTTCAAATCTGGCCTCAGATAATTACTAGCTATGTGACCCTGGCCTCAGTTTCCTCATCTGTAAAATGAGCTGGAGAAGGAAATGGCAAACCATTCCAATATCTTTGCCAAGAAAACCCCAAACAGGGTCACAGAGAATCGACTCCACTGAAAACAACAAAACAACAACTTACTTATCATTTTATCTGTTAGATACATAATAAGATCCTTGTCTTAACCGTGATAGATCTTTCTCACTGTATCCAAACATGATCACACGATTTAGAATTGGATGGGACTTCAAAAATCCAATCAAATCTCATTTTACAGAGGAGAAAGCTATCTACAGGACTCAATTTATGCCATAGAAAGTTGAATTTTTTTTCTTATTCCTTAAGTGAAGTATTTTGAGGGGATAAAGTTGGCCCCTGGAGTTCAGGGTTTCTTAACCTCTCTTTTATTAGGGGCCCCTTTGTCAATCTGTTGAATCCTATGGACCCTTTCTCAGAACAATGTTCTTAAATGCACAAAATAATATGGATAAGATTATGAAGGAAACCAATTATACTGAAATACAGTGTAATTTATGTCTTTATCAGGATATTATAAGTTCCAAGTTCACAGAACTCCCCTATCCCCAAACCCAGGTGCATGGACTCTCCCAGCTAAAAACTTTCTTTCCTGTAACAGAAAGAGGACTAGATATAGTGACAGGGGACTTGGATTTCAACTGGGGTTTGGCCACTTACTATGTGGCTTTGGGAAAGTCACTTAACCTCTCTATGCCTCAGTTTCCTCATCTGTAAAATGAAAGGTTTGGGTTGGGTGGCCTCTTGGGTCCCTTTCAACACTATGAACCTAAGACCTCTGGCCTTTAGTTTTCTTCATCTCTCAATTGTGAGAGTTAGAGTAGATAATCTCTAAGGTTCCTTCTTTGAAATCTTAACAGATTTCAAATTCACAAATTCACCCCCAATTACTGACTCTTCTGTGCCATATCCCCTCCCCGCTCACTCCCATCTGTCTCCTGTTTTCGGATGGAAAAAAATGAGAAACATAAACATTAACTATGAATAGGCAGTTCATAAAGGCCATACTGACAATTAGGGAAAGAGAAAGACCACTGTGGGTTGGGTTGGAGTAGTCAGGGACAGCTTCCTGGAGGAGGTAGAAACTGAGCTGGCCTCTCCTGATAAGATTTCTCTGGGGTGGAGGGTATTGTTGGGGGGGGGATGAATAGTGAGTTATTATGGGGGAGGTGACTCCCGGGCCCTGGAAGGCTGGGGTGATTCAGGTAGAAAATCTTGAGAAGCAGTAGCTGTGGTTAGGAGAAGGGAACATGTCTGGTGGATGTGTTTTTTCAGCTCATCCACCCCTTTGCTGCTGACATAGGGGAGCAAGCCCTGGATTAGTGTTTTGCCCTAGAGATATTTCTCAACTGCTTGAACATGTTACCAGCCTGACCTTGGAGGGTCTGGTTCTGGAGCAGGTCTCCCTCCAGAAGCATCAAGAAAGAAACGAGTCAAGTTAAAGGCTATGGAAATTATTTCCTTTCTACAGGTCTTAGTTTTCTCATCTGTAAACTAGGGGGTTTAGACTCCATGACCTTTAAGGTCCTTTCTAGCTCTGAAATCTTATGTTCTGTATTCTGAGGTTTTCCAGTTCCCCTCACTCTGCCTGTCTGCCATATTAGACCTGAGTCTCCTATATTAACTCTTACCCACTGCCTGGGTCTACTACCTCCCTAGGAAAATTCTCCAGCTTTCTTATCAGCCCCCAGCTGGCCTGAGGGTAGGTGGGGCCCAAGGGAAGACAGGAAGGGAGTTCTGATGGGATAATGACCTGGTTTTCAGCTCATTCAATTTGTCCAAGCTTCTAATGCTGCTGCTCCTCTGGTCCCAACAACAAGACTTCCCATTGCTGGAGATTTCCTGGACCCAGCTGATATAAGGTGTGTCTGTGTATTTTTTCACTGGGTGGCAGGCAAGAGAGGGAACTTTGGCTAAGAGCAATAGCGCCAGGAAATGGAATCCATGTGGATTTAGAGCTCTCTTGTGTATCACAGTTCTTTGGGGGTGGAGGAGCCATGGAGAGCACTTATCTCTGCAGCATCCCACTTTGGACATTTACTAACTGTGTGAAACTGGGAAAACCTCTCTGAGCCTCAGTTTCCTTATCTGTAAAACGTGGAGGCTGGACTTGGCTGACCTCTAAGGTCCCTTTCAGCTTTAATAGATCCATGATCCTATGCTCTTTTTATACCATCTCTGTTCCCAGACCAGAATGGGTGGCCAAGTGGTTCCCCATCAGGCTAGGTAAACCCTCATGGCACCTGGCCACTGTATGGAAAGTCCAGGAGGTCCAGGTCATGCTTGGGGTAATAACCAATAATATTAATAACTCACATTTCCATAGTGCTTTACAATTTTCTAAGCACTTTCTACGAGGCAGATGGTACAAATATTAGGATACCCATTTTATAGATGAGGAAACTAAGGGGTAGAATTGGGACTCAAACAAACATACATCTCTTGACTCCACATTCATGTCTGCACAGTGCAGGGTCCCCTCTATTCCTCAGGCTCACTGTCAAGGTTAGGACATGGCGCTCATTGCAGAGTCTTGGGATGGGGAGGATTTGGATCTGAATTAAATGTTAAATAGGGAGATATGCCATAAACCCTTTTGGGAGTACTCAATATCCTTTAAATAAAGGGGGGCATAAAAAAAGGTGTTTTGTTCTCCAATGGTCACTTCTTTGGATCTTACAGAGGCTTACAGCAGCTGTTGGGTTGGGCCTCCCTCCTGACAATCTTTGGGTAGCATTAGGTACTGATGTGGGGTGGGGTGATTATCAGCAGGGTCAGAATACCGGGAGGATCTAGGGAGGGTTCCCTATCCTTTCCTCCTCCACCCTAGGGAAGTCTCCCCATGCCTTCTGTCCTGAAGTAACACAAAAGAGAACATGGAGCAGATGAAGTAGACAGCACTATAAACTAGAGCCTGAACACTATGGTCCATTAAATATCCCAAAGAAAACAAAAGGTATATCCATGAAATGACATATACTTCCCCTATAGAAACGGTCATTTTCAGGATTAGAGAGAAATCCAAAGGATGGATTGAGTTGGAGAAATGGTGAAGAATATTTTAGAAGGCTGACTTTAGCAGTTCTTTCTCCTTCTCCTCTAAATGGGAATGGACAGAAGTTATGACTGACCTTTTAACCTAGCTCCAGACTGATGCCTAAATCCATCCACAGCCTTAGGCTGACCCCAAAATTTATCCACAGCCTTGACCCCGGCCACTTCATCTATAGATTGAGCCACAGACCAACACCCTAAATCTGGCCTTGTGTCTGTGACCACTGACTAAATGAGCAAGGAGCTATGATCCTAGCAGAAAAGAAGGATGGAGCATCATTATCTACACTTTCCTTCCTCCTCTTCCTTATGGCCAAGGCTAATTATTTGCCAACTGGTGATTAGGAAGGCAAATGTGGAGCTTTAGGGGGGTAGTCTGGGTTTTGGGGTTACCCTATGATAGGATTTTGGGCAGCCAGATGGCACAGGCAATAGAGTGCCAGGCCTGGAGTCAGGAAGACCTTACTTCAAATCCAGCCTCAGACAATTACTAGTTGTATGACCTTGGGCAAGTCACTTAACTTTGTTTGCCTCAGTTTCCTCATCTGTAAAATAAGCTAGGAAAGGGCAAAACGCTTCAGTATTTTTGCCTAGAAAACCCCAAATGGGGTCACAAAGAGGGGGGGCACAAAACAACTAAACAACTGGGGTAGGGTTTAGGAGTCAGTCTGGGGTTGGGTCTTGAAGTCTGTCTAGGCAGGATTTAGGGGTCAGTCTGGGGTTGGGTTTTGGGCTGAGACCAAGCACCTGGGGGGCGGGTGGGGGGCCTCCCCTGAGTGGGCCCCGGAGATGAGGAGTTGGGGTGACCCTTTCAGGGTTCCTCTTGCTCCATTCCCTTTCCCCTGAGGATGGGGACTGAAGCCAAGGCGGAAGGACAAGAGCCGCCTGGCCGGGCTCCCCAGCGCGGGCTCAGGCCTCTCTCCCCAAGGCGGACGAGAGCGGAGAGCGGAGAGCGGAGCGCAGCGCGCCGGCGGAACGTTCGAGCCGAACCCCGCGCGCGCAGCCGAGAGTCTCTGGGGGGAAGGACCCACGGCGTAGTCACTGCCCAGCAACGGGCGGAAATGTGGCTCCTGTCAGGAGGCGCGGCAGTTACGGGGCACGGGCAGCTCGGAGCTCCGCGGAGCCGCCGCCTGCAGCCCGAGAGATCGGCCCCGGGAAGCCGGTGTGTACACGTCGCCGAGCCGGGCGGACTGGGGCGGGCGGGGGCGGAGGGGAAGCCCCGGGCCCTGGGCCGCACGTGCGAGGTGGGGACCATTCCCGGCCTGAGCTAGCTCCTGCGGAGGGGAGGGGAGGGAAGGGAGGCGGAGGTCGCGCCGGCGCATTGGGGGCGGCTCGGGGCCGGCCGGGCTTCGGAGCCCGGAGCCGGAGTAGGGGGCTTGGGGATTGGACGCCGTGACCGGGAGGGGTCGGGAAAGGCTTCCGGCCGCCCTGCTCTGTCAGCGATTGGCGCTGTGACCTTGGTGGCTGGACGGGAAGAGTCTGGGACTGGGGAGCCTGGGGTTCGAGTTCTGGCTCTGCCACTGACTGTCCGTGTCGTCTTGAACGAATCTCTTCCCTTTCCTGGAGCTCAGAATTCTGCCGTATAAAATGTAGAGTGTTGGACCAGCTCAGGGGTTCCCAAAGTTTTTTGTTATGCAAACCCTTTTCAACAATTAAAAAAAAGGGTTTTGATAATTTATTTTAGATGGAGGTTTATTCATTAAGTGCTTACTTACAGTAATAACTTTTGTCCCCAAAAGAAAATGCGTTTTGTATACATTTATATATAATAAATTATATATACTATACATACTATATGCATACTATATGATTATATGTATATGGTATGTTATACATATTATATAATTATATGTATACAGTATACAGTTATAAGATATATTTTACACCGATGATTATGAAAATTCTAAGTATTAGATTATAAAACTAATTTTAAAATAATTGCAAATACTTTATATGGGATTTTCTGTAAAAATTAAAATAACCTAGAAAAACTTATCCTTGCTATTATTGGCAATACTTAATATTAAATTTATTTTACAAATTGTTGACTGTACATAACTTTTAAATGAAATAAGTTACAACTTGGAAGATGTCTGTCTAACAGGATAATCACGTTCAGTCATGCCCAACTCTTCATGACCCCATTTGGGGTTTCCTTGGCAAAGATACAGGAATGGTTTGCCTTTTCCTTCCCCAGTTCATTTTACAGATGAGGAAACAGGCAAATGGGGTTAAGTGACTTGCCCAGGGCTACGCAGCTAAGTGTCTGAAGTCAAATTTGAACTCAGATCTTCCTCATTCCAGGCAGGGCACTCTGTCCACTTCAACACCTAGTAATCATACATAAACTTAGTTTTGATGGTGGACTTTTTTTATTTGAACAAAGATTTACAATATTTGGCTCAATACCAAAGGGAGAGGTTATATTTTTAAGACAATTGGGCAAATTATTTATTGTACAGTGACAGAATTTTTAACGTGAATCCCTTGGACCCTAGTTGCAATCCCCCAAGAGGTTTTCAAACTACTAAATGGGAACTCCTGGATTAGGTGATCATTTAAGGTCCCTTCCAGCTCTAGCAATCTCAGAGTTACACGGACTTCAGAGACTTTCTGGCCCAACACATATACCTGCCAGTGGCTTTTGCTTTAAAGACCTCCCTGACAAGTGTGCTTCTGGACTGCTGTAATTGTTAGGAAGTTTTTCCTGACTTTAACACACTTTGCCTTTTCCATCAAAAATTTGCAGCTGCTAGCCATGGATTGCCTCCTTGCCCTTTTTCTGGGCCTTAATCTCCTTGTCCGGTCAAACAGAATTGTAGCATTGGAAGGGACTCTGGAGATCATCTGGACCAACTCGCTTATTTTACATAGTAGGAAACAGAATCCCAGAGAGAACTGCTTTGCCAAGATCACAAAGCAAGCCAGTGGCATCAGCCTGGTCAAAAACCTAAGTTTCCTCTTTTGGAAAGTTCAAGAAACATTCCGCTAATGCCTTTCTGCTTTTGAGAAGATTATTTTAATTCTGGAGGGTTCCTCCATATATTCTGGAGCCATGATATTAGGTATACTCTAGAGCAGAGTACTCAAGCACACACTTCCTGGGCCATATTGGCCTGCGACACTCAGAACATGGAATTAGGAAGTATTTAGCAAAAGAAATAAAAATACATAGATGAATATGTCATTTTCTAAGGTAACGTGCTACCAGAAGGGTTGCTATTTGGCACCACTGCTCTTGAGCAAGTTCCAGAATTTAGCAGCAACAACAACAACAATAATAATAACTGTCATTTACATAGCACTTACTATGTGTCAGACACTGTGCTAAGGGCTTTATAATTAAGATTCATTCCAAGCTGAATTTTTAAAAAAAGGTTTTGATGAGGGGCAGCTAGGTGGCACTGTGGGTAGAGCACCGGCCCTGAAGTTAGGAGGACCTCAGTTCAAATTTGCCTCAGACCAAACACTTGACACTTATTAGTTGTGTGACCCTGGACAAGTCACTTAACTCCACTTGCAAAAAAAAATTTTTTTTGTGCCTTTTTTTTTACATTACTTTGATTTCCTCCAGTATCCTTCCATCTCCCCTGCCCAGAGAGCCCCTCTCTATTTTTTTTTAAGACAAAAGAAAAAGAAAATAAACCTGATCAGTATGTTGAGAAAGTCTGATAATATGTGCAATGTACAACACTTGTGCACCTGCCATCGCTGCATGGGGTGGTGGTGGGGAGGTCTTCTCATATCTCTTATTTCTAGTCATGCTTATTCTTTGTAATTTTGCAACATTCACTTTTGGTTTTTTTATTTGGTTCTGTTTACATTGTTGAAGTCCTTGTGTATATTGTTTTCTTGGCTCTGCTTTCTTTGCTCTGCATCACTTCATGGTCATTAGTTCATTAATCGTCTCATGCTTCTGTATACTCTCCATTAATATTTTGTTACATTCACGTGTCAGTTTGTTTAGGCTGCTGTAATCAGTGGGCTGGGCGTCTGCTTTGTTTCTGATTCTGTGCTGTCTTAAAAAGTACTGCTTATAAATATTTTATTGCATATGGGGACTTTGTTATCAAAGGTCTCCTTGAGGTATAAGCCTAGTAATGGAATATCTAGGTCAAAGGGTATGGACATTTTAGTCATTTTATTTGCATAATTCCAAATTGATTTTCAGAATAAGTATGTTGATTCACAGTTGCTCTAACAATGCACTACTGAGTCTATCTTCCCACAGCCCCCCTACAGCATTGAGTGTTCCCATCTTTTGTTACCTTTGCCAGTTTGTGGGGCTAAGGTCAAACTTCGGGGTAGTTTCAATTTGGATTTCTCTTATTAATAGTGATTTGTAGTATTCTTTCCCATGGCTGTTAATAGTTTGTAAGCCTTCTTGTTTGTTAATATTCATTGATCACTTTTTTACTGGGCAATGGATTTTGGTATATGTGTATCTCTCTCTCTCTCTCTTCTCTCTCTCTCTCTCTCTCTCTCTCTCTCTCTCTCTTCTCTCTCTCTGTGTATTATACATATGTTCATTGTTTATACAAGGTGTCCCTAAGTGCAGTCTTAAGCCTTAATAGCTTAGCTTTAAACTTTAAACTTCACTAAGTTTTTTGGGACACCCTGTATTATTCTTGAATTCTAAATCCTTATCAGAGAAATTTGATAAAGATGTCTTCCTCACATTCAACAACTTTCCTTCTAGGTTAGAGTTAATTTGGTATGTGCAGGAGCTGTTAGTTTGATGTAATCATAGCTCTCTTTTATCTTTAATTGCATCTCTTTCAGGTAACTGTGAAAGCTATATGATCTACTTCTCTTCTAATTTTTTTATAGTATGATCTTTAATATTAAGATTACACATCCATTTAGAATATATTGTGGAATATGCAGTAGTTTCAGGTATTGGTCCAAGCTTAACTTCTACCAGACTGCTTTCCAGTTTTCCCTGCAGCTTTTTGCCAAGTAGGGAGTTTTTTGCTAAGTAATTTTTGTTTGCTGGTTTATTGAACACTGGGTTAAGTTCCTGATTCTTCCTTGCCTAGTCTATCCAGAGAAGAATTTAAGCTAGGATTGATACTTGAATCTTCATGGTCTCTTCAGGATTGGCTGGATGACCTCTAAGGCCCTTCTAAGAAAAAATAAGAATCAAAAGAGAGTGTCAGGTGTGATCCCAAAGGATTTGTGGCTTTGCTGGTATATGTTTGCAGACCTGAAGGGTGCTTGCATAGACCTTAGAAAGACTATCACGTTATTGTGCAGCCTGATTTGAGACAACTCCAACCCTGTTCAGTAGGGGTAGCTTAATTCATCTGTGTTTACTCTCTAATTTCCTTGCTGTAGTGTGAAGAAGGAAAGCTACTTAGTGCCAGTATTTGGAAGCAAATGATTCTAAAACCTAGTACTAGTTGGTGAAGAAAATTAAGTCCTATGTGAGGAGAAAAGTCAAAGTTTGATAAGAGTTTAAAGTAGCAACAACTCCTTGTAGAACATACTTAATTTTCCTGTGTGGCAAGTCAGTTCTTGTTGAGCCATCGACAGATGGTGTAAAGACATGCTTGCTTTTCCCCTCTTAGATCTCCCCCCCATCTAAAATTGAAGTAAGAGAAAAGTTTTAAAAATAGATAATATTATAGTAGTCTCTATTAGCCTTGAAATGCTTGACATCAATGGAATATATTTTACTGGAGACTTTTACCCCAGTAGAGTTTAAGTTTCTCAAAGGTAGGGAATGTTTTTTGTCTATATCTCCCCAGCACTTAGCACCAATACCTTACACATGGTAGGCACTGCATAAGTCTTTGGTAAATTGAAGGTTTTTGTTTGGAAATGTATTTTAGATCCATAGCTACAGGGCACATAGCAACAGCTTTGGCCTAAATGCAGGATTGGTGATTTAACTCCAGGTCTGAGATAGTTGGTTCCTGAAGGAAAAGTTTCAGGTCTTGATTTTGAGGCAGTAACTTGAAGTGCTGTCTATGCTTCTTCTTTAGTATTACTGTGTAACTGATCTAAAGGCATTTCACAAACCTGGCCATTAGCCCTCATAGTAGAAGACAAAGTAGTCCACCAGGGAATAAAGTAGTCCAGACTGTGTCTTTCCTGTAGTTAATTATTGTTCCTTTGTCTCCTGCTTTTGCCAGCAGAAGACAGGTTGAGCTTAAAGTTTATTCATTTACAAGGTTAATTATAGGTTGCTGTAATACTAGTAAATCAAATTTTTAAGTTAACTTGTACAGTACTTTTAAAAACTATTCTTCAAAACTGAGTATGACTATTGGATACAATTTATATTCATTCAGTAAAGTACATAAATACAGAATGTTGTTATTTTCTTCCCGAAGTAATAGGAGAGGGGGAAAAAAAGTGTGGTTTAGAGAATAATAATAACTTTTAAAAACTACATGATTATTGGAAATGAACTTTTATTTATATCAAGTCAGCAAGGGCAGTTAACAGTGAAGCTTACCTAAAAGCCTAGAAAATGACCACATGGTTCTCCTTATTGTGTTCATTGCTAACTGGCTCCTTACTGAACATTTATTTGTTTCTCTGGGGTTCTGGGGCTGGAGTAGAAGGTGTAAGAAAACTCCTCCTGGTTTTGTAAGGTCAACCTTTTTCTTGTGGTTGTGTTCCCTGGGTGGCCCTCAAGGGAAGCAAGTTGTTTGAGTTGTGAAAGGGGTTGATTGAGTTTTTTCTGCAAGGAGAACCTGGATTTTTTTCAAAGTAGATTTTCAGAAATGTTCCTTAATGTTCTTTACTGATTTTTGTTTGTTACTGATTTATGGTAGTGTTAAAGTTTTGGGTTTTTTTTTTTAACTCATTTTTGGCCAAGATGACTGAACTAATTTCTGTTTCTTTCTTTCCAGTAGTTTTGTTTTGTTTTGTTAACTTTTTTCTTCCATCTCCAGGCTCCTGCTGCCCAGAAGCATAGACTTGCTAGGGGCAGGGGTGTTGGGGAAGCTAGCGAGTGACAGAACCATTTGGCTTTGTTTATTTGTTTCCCTGTTGTACTGGAGCGGGAATAGAAGGGGTTGGAAAACTGGTGGTGATTTGTAAGGTCATTTTTGTTGTGGTTGTGTTTGGTGGGTGCCCCCGCAAGGGAAGCTGTCTGAGGGGTTGTGAATGGGGATGGGTGTTACCTTGCCATCCTTGACACTTGTGTAGCTGCAACTTTGTGTAGCGTAGATATAGAATATCATATATGTTGTGTGATATCACATGTGATATGTACATGCACACACATATACATGCGTGTGTGTGTGTTTAAAATAGTTGAAATAGTTAAAGGAGCTGTAGGTGGAAAGGGAAAAGAAAATCTTTCAAGAAAACACTAGTCTGTCTTTTTGGTACATGGTTCCTGTACTTGAACTGCCTGCCTCACAAGGTTATTTTGAAACATTTTGCAAACTCTAATATATAAATGCCGTGATTATTATAAATGTGAACCATTTTTGCTATTACTAAACATCTCTTCCTTTCTCTGTCTAGGACTATATACCCACTTTTGACACCTGAATTCCTTCCTTGGTCCATTTTCTCTATAGACATAAAGATCTTTCATTAGCAGGTATGGAAAATGCCCCTTAATGCCATGCAGTATTAGACTAAATTGGAATTTTTATTTTTTGTTTTTCAAGTGAAAATTTTTCTATTTTTTCCAATTATGTGTAACAACAATTTTTAACATTCATTTTTAAAAATTGAGCTCCAAATTCTTGCTCTCCCTCTTCCCTCCTCCCTCCTTGAGCAGGCAAGCAATTTTATATAGATTATACATGTTCAGTCATGCAAAACATCTTTCCATATTAGCCATGCTGTGGAAGAAAACACAGACAAAAAACCAAAGTAAACCCAAGAAAAATAAAGTTTAAAAAAAAGTGTGCTTTACCTGCATTCAGATTTCATCACTTCTTTCTCTGGAGGTTGATAGCATTTTTATAGTAAGTCATTTGGAATCATCTGGGATAGCTAAGTCATTCACAGTTGATCATAGTACGATATTGCTGTTACTGTGTTAAGCTAGAATTTTTAAAATGACTGTTTCCAGATTACTTGTGTTATTCCTCATATTTGTAACAGGGGCTTCACTTGACACTCCAGAACTAGAATTCTGGGTTCACTACTTATATATCTATGCTACACAAACACCTTGTAAAACACATATCACAGGGGCAGCTAGGTGGTGCAGTGGATAGAGAGCACTGGCCCTGGAGTCAGGAGGACCTGAATTCAAATGTGGCCTCAGACACTGGACACTTAACTAGCTGTGTGACCCTGGGCAGGTCACTTAACCCCATTTCCTAGCCAAAAAACAAAAAACACATATCACAGTGTTATATAGTAAAAAACCTGTAATAGATCTAGTCTCAGCAGTTCCTAGAATGATAAAAAATGATGAGATCAGACACAGGAGATGATAACCTCTTGCAACAGGTTTGATTCCAAAATCTTCTCTCCCGATAACAAAGAATTGAAGATCAGCTGTGATCAGAAACTCTTCATTCCATAGTTGGGATCAGGTGCTTGGCTCTGAGTCATCAGAGCTGATCCTTGTGACCTTGGGCTCATCCCATTACTCCATCCTTTAGAAGTGACATCTTCCCTCCAAAAAATCTGGCAGGTAGTGTACTTCATTTCACTAAATTAACTGTCTAATGTTGAACTACATTAAACTTCAAAAGAAACTGAGAACAAGTTTGCTCTGCACACTCTTAAAATGTTGTACATTTTCCCCCATATCACTGTATCCCTCAACAGAACTCCAGCTTAGAAGGTTTGTAAGAATTTCATGAGAACACAAGAAGGAGCTGTAATTTTTTGTTTTCAAAAGGAACTCCCAGTGTGGGAACTCCCTCAATCGGTAAGCATTTATCAAGTGCCTGCTGTGTGCCAGGCACTGTGCTAGGTGCTAGAGATAAAGCATACATACCATAAGTATAAAGTGAATAAATACATACATATATGTGTATGTATATCTATATATATTAACTACAAGATAATGTGGGAGAGAGGGCACTAGGAGTTGGGAGTATCAACTAAAACATAATGCTTGAACTGCATCTTGAAGGAAGAGGAGATGGATTCTATGAGATGAAGGTAAAGTCGAGGGGGGAGCATTTCTCCAGGCATGGAAGAGATGGCCAGTGCAAAGGCACAGAGATGGGAAATGAGGTGTTATGTATAAGGAATAGAGAGAAGGCCAGTTTGACTGGATTGCAGTAATGGAACCAATATCCAGTGAAACTGGAAAGGTAGGTTGTGTTGGATTTTAAAAGCTAAACTGAGGAAGTAATACTTTATTTTAAAGGCAATGGGAAGCCATTGGAATTGGGGGAGTAGAAGAATCGTTTGGTCAGATCTTTGCTTAAGGAAGTTTACTTTTAGCAGCAGGATATAGGAGGGACTGGAGAGACGCAAGACTTGTGTCAGGGAGACCTATGAGGAGACTATTGCAGTGCTCTAGGTAAGAAGTGCTGGGGTCCTGAGCTGAGCCAGTAGAGGTGTGAGTGGAAAGAAGAGGTCAGATATGAGAGATAATGTGAAAGTAAAGATGCAAGATTTGGCAACTGACTAGAACTATAGGGTGAGGGAGAGTGAAAAGTTGAGGTTAATGTCAAGGTTACCAAGATGGAAGTATGGTGGTGTCTGCAACAGAAGTAAGAAGTTTGAAAGAGGGAAGGGTTTAGGAGGAAAGGTAATGAGTTCAATTTTGAGCATGTTGAGTTGAAGATGTCTCTGGAACGTCCTGTTTGAAATGTACAATAGGCAATTGTGGATATGAGACTGAAGTTCAAGGAAAATCTATCTGGGTATAAAGTCTACAACTCATCTGCATAGAGGTTACAGTTAAATCAAATGCAGCAGAGAGGTTGAAAAGGATGAGAACTGAGAAAAGACCTTCAGATTAGACAATTAAGAGATCATTGATAATTTTGGAGAGGATAGTTTTAGTTTAGTGATGAGATCAGAAAACAGATTGAAAAAAGATTAAAGATTGAGTGAGAGGAGAGAAAACAGGGGCAGCTTTTTCCAAGAACTTTGGTTAAGAAAGAATGGAGAGTTATAGGATGATAGCTTGAGGGGATGGCGGAGTCTAGTGAACATCTTTTAAGGATGGGTGAGACTTGAAAAAGTCTGAAGGTAGCAAGAGAGGAATTAGCAAATAGAAATTGCAGATTCAGGAGGAAAGGATGATTGAGCATGCAATTTGCTAGGCAAGATAGGAAGGGATGGGTTCAAGGGCACATGTAGGGATGCTGGCCCTGGCAAGGAAAAGGCCCACCTCTTTTGGCAGAGGAGAATGGGAAATTACGTCCAGGGGTTTTAAAATGAAAAGAAGAGGAAAAGAGAAAGATCATGTTGAATGACTTCAATCTTCTCAGTAAAGTAAGAGGTGGGTCCTTAGCTGGGGGTAGAAAGAAGTAGAGTTGTGAAACATTTGAAGAAGGAAGAGAAGGCTTGGAATAGCTCCTGTGGGATGTGAGATAAAGAATAAATTAGGGAGGAATAAAAGAACTGCTTTGCTGCAGTGAGGCCCCAGTTGAAGTTGGATAACATAAAATTCTTAAAATTTTGTTTTTTAATTAGGTTTTCATCTTTTTTTTAATTAAGCATTTATTTGATAACATGGATTTGCAGTGTGCCCAGGTAGCATTATTGTGAGATTTATTCCAGCTGTATTGACTAGCTAGTGAATAGGATTGGAAGACATAGATGATCAGAGTAATCCAGGACCGATGTTCTGTAAATTGCAAACTGGCTTCTTTATGACTGTGTCAGAGGCTTAATTTGAACCCAGTGAGTATAAGCCCAGAACTTTACTGCTTCTACACGGCAACCTCTAAAAGGGCATTTTCTAATACTGAAATTCATCTGGAAGAATAAAAGATTAAGAATGTCAAGAGAATTAATGAAAAAAAAAATTGAAGGAAGGTGGCCTTGCCGTAGCAGATCTCAAATTGTATTATAAAGTGGTAATCATCAAAACAATCTGGTATTGGCTAAGAGATAGAGAGGTGGGTCAGTGAAATAGATTAGGTATATAATACACAGTAGGTGATAACCATAGTTTGATAAACACAAAGATCCTGTCTCCTGGGGGACAAGAACTCATTGTTTGACAAAAACTTCTGGGAAAACTGGAAAGCAGTTTGGCAGAAACTAGGTATAGACTAACATCTCACACCATATACCAAGATAAGGTCAAAATAGTTATATGATTTAGACATGAAGGGTGATACTAAGAGCAAATTAAGGGGGTATGGAATAGTCTACCTGTGGATAAAGGAAGAATTTATGACCAAAACGAGATAAAAAGCATTACAGGATATAAAATGGATAGTTTTGACTCACTAAATTAAAAAGGTTTAGCACAAACAAAACTGATGCAAAGATTAAAAGGAAAGCAGAAAGCTGGGGGTTAAATTTTATAGCAAGTTTCTCTAATAAAGGCCTCATTTCTCAACTATATAGAGAACTTAGTCAAATTTATAAGAAATATAAGTCATTCCCCAATTGATAAATGGTCAAAGGATATGAACAGGCAGCTTTCAGATAAAGAAATCAAAGCTATCTATAGTCATATGAAAAAATGCTCTAAATCACTATTGATTAGAGAATTCCAAATGAAGACAGCTCTGAGGTATATCACCTCATAACTAATGGATTGACCAATATGACAGAAAAGGAAAATGACAAATGTTGGAGGGAATTTGAGAAAATTGGAATACTAATGTACTATTTGAGATGTGAACTGATCCAACCATTCGTGTCGGGGAGGGGGGGAGCAGTTGGAGTTAAGTGACTTGCCCAGGGTCACACAGTAAGTGTTAAGTGTCTGAAGTCAGATTTCAACTCAGATCCTCCTGATTCCAGGGCCAGTACTCTATCCACTATGCCACCTAGCTGCCCCCGATCCAGCCATTCTTGAGAGCAGTTTGGCCAAAGGGCTGTGCATACCTTTGACCCAGCACTACCACCAGTAAAAAACAAAAAAGGAAAAAGGAAAAGGACCTATATATACAAAACTATATACCCCCCCAAAATAAAAAAGCTCTTTTTGTAGTGGAAAACAATTGGAAATTGAGGGGATGCCTATCATTTGAGGAATGGCTGAACAAGTTATGGTATATGTTTGCGATGGAATACTGTTATGCTATAAGAAATGATGAGCAGGATACTTTCAGAAAAACATGGGAAGACTTACAAGAACTGATGCAAAGTGATGTGAGCATAATCAGGAGAACAAAGTAATAGCAATATTGTAGGATGAACAACTGTGAATGACTTTGCCTAAGACCTAAGACAGTTCCAAAGAACTTATGATGAAAGATGCTATCCACTTTCATTGAAAGAATTGGTGGTGTCTGAATGTGGATTGAAGCATACTGATTTTTTTTTTGTTCTATTTTCTTTCACAACATGACTAATATGGAAATATGTTTTGCATGACTGCGCACGTTATAGGTTATAATCTATATCAAATTACAATGGGAGGGAATTTGGAACTCAAAATTTTTTTCAAGAAATAAGGGCATTTTCACCTGCCCGTTAATAATAGCCCCTATT